GTCGGGGGGGGGGGGGGGGGGGGGTTTTCTTGCTAGACTTGTTAGACTTGCTGGCATGAGAGAAGATTCTCTTTGGGAGATTCTTTTCAGAAACTGGGTATGAATGGGTTGGAATCGATCGGACGCGAAAGATCTCTATTCAAAAATTTGACCGAAATCATCAATCATTGCCCGACGTTTTCTGGGGTCTGCCTTCGTGAATAAACCATGAAGAAAGAAAAAAAAAAAAGATGAAGGATGACGGGGATTCACCTTTACAAATCGGAGCGCAGTTCCATATAGAAAGGGGCCCGACCCCGGCGAACTGACCGAAGGCCAATTCCATGAAGTACATGGGCTTCCCGGCGAGGACCAGCATGATCAGATACGGGATCAGGAACGCTCCTGTCGTTCGGGGAGAATCCAAAGGGTTTTCGGTTTTATTTGTGCGAAGGAATTCACGAACGGTGACTGGAGGGATGCATCGTTGGTATTTGGATGCCCTCAATATTTTCACGGTATTATTGCATATTTTATGATATTTGATCAAGACGGTAAATAAGAATTATCGCGTCGTCTGGCCCCATCCAACAAGATTGATCGACGAGCGACGGTTCCGAAACTCGAGCCCCTTTTACCCCGTGTCTCGCCTACGGTTTCCACCCCAAGAAACCAACAGAGCCCGTGGGAACGAGGTCTAAAATCGTTTTCTCGAAGTTAAGAAATCCGGCTATCGTCTGGCGGTCTCTGTTACAGTAGCGTAAAAAACGTAAATAAAAAAAAATACGGGGGAAGTCGGAAGAATGGCGCAGTTGTAATAGGGACGGAGGGCCGGTTGGCAGACTGCCAATGACGTCACCGAAGACGCTCCGTCACAGTCGTGGATCGATGAAAACTTGCCGTCTTTTCCCCTTTCCCCTCTCTTCCTTCCTCCGTCGCCTGAGACGCGCGGATGCCTCGAAGACGCCATCCGCGGGCGGGAGGGCATCGTCGTCGCCCCTTTCAAAGCCCGCCAACGCATCAGGAGGCTCGATGGAAAACGGAAGGAGGTCCGGGACGTCCATCGATCGGAGGCTTTTATCGGCGGCACGAACCGCCCATATCGTCGATGTAATTGGCGATATCTGATGCGATTCGTCCTCGTCTCGTCAGACGACGACGAGATCCGTGTTTTCCGGGCGGATGCCTCGCGTGACCGGTGGCGAAGGGGGCTCGGAGGCCAGCCCCCTCATTATTTTTGGCAGCTAACGTGAGGCCAACTCGTTTTGAATGCGTCACTGGGAACTAAGGAGATTTTTTTTTGCGAGTCCCAAAGGTCACTTGGCATGCCATGCCAGAGTGGAGATAAGAAATAAGAGGGCTTTTAATGGTGGCACGGGCAGGAAATGATTTTCTTCCCAAGATAATATAGATCACTGCAGGGGGGTCATACTGGGTGGTCCAAAAGCCACAGGACGACGAAAGCGAAGGTATAATTATTGCATTAAAAATGTTCGTGCTTTATGCGCATCTCTCGCAGATAAATTGCAGCATGTAATGTATGCATTAAACACGGCAGTGCTCAACACACAAATCGCATCATAATGACATATTGTCTATCGCTTTTTTTTTAATCATATATTTTTTACCTTCTTTTTCTTCGTCCTGCGACTTTCTGACCACCCCGTACACCAGCAGGAAGCGCGTTTCATTATCGTTCTTCTGAAGCCATCGGTAAACCGATGTTGGAAAGAATTCAGAAGAGGCGCCTCACACTCATCCTAAACGCCTCACCCTCATCCTACGCCTCACGCGCCTCGCAGAAAAATTCGTTTCTGAGACCCTGTCATTATTAATTATATTATTGATTATGTTAACAGAATGCGAAGTGGCTTTCTTTTTTTTTTGGACAGACTGTAGCCATTCTTGTAATCATAATTGTTATCATACGTGCAAACACGCTTGTAATTATATGTAGCCATTCCAGTAATCACATTTGCAATCATACGTGTAAGTATGCTTGTAATTATGTGCAATTACTCATTTAATCATGAAATAGCGTTTATCATCACACGATCTCGCTCGTAATAATGCAATCCCCGCTCTCCTCATTAAACCACCCCGCAATAACACGACCGCGCTTGCAATCGATCGAACGGCGCTCGCGGCGCGGAGAGCCCAAGGAAACGCACCTCCTCCGTTCTGATAGGCGAGATAGGGAAACCTCCAGACGTTGCCGATCCCGACGGACAGCCCGATGCAGGAGAGCAAAAACTCCCACTTGCTGCCCCAGTTCCCCCTGGGCGAGACGGAGACCTGGGAGGGCCGCCGGATGGCGCTCTCGTAGCTCGTGCCGAAAAACGAGTCCCGCTTCTTGTAGGAGAGGCGACGGCGTCGCACCTCCTCGGGGACGGCGTGGCCGTGGCCGTGGCCGTGGCCATGGCCGTGGTGGGTCTCCATGGGTTCAGGGGGCGAGGGGCCTGGGTTTCATCCTGAAAAAAAAAAGGATCCTTTAATCGAATTTTCGCAATTTAATGCCGTGATAATCACTTTAACCCTTTGCACTAAAATTTTAACGGCATGGTCTGCCCCAGCAAATTATTTTTATTTTCAGGACATTTAAACTGTTCTAGTCGAAGAAATTATAATAATAACATTCTAAGAAATTATCTGCGTAAAGAACGGAAGCTTACTTACATTACCATCGGAAGACACCCAACACCAGAAAACTGCTCTTCGGAGGGAGACCCGAGAGAATTCAATGGGTCAAAGGGATCAATTTGACTCCCACGATGAAATTGGATCAACTCAATTCTTTCGATGAAGTGAAATCAGTCTAAGTTAAATCGACCTGGCGACCATCTTTTAACGTAGAAGTTTTAAGCCTCTCAAGAGCGAATTTTCCGACTGAAATTTTTTCATATTTCTGTCTGTAAATACTCTTGTAATCCTCCTGCCAGGCAGTGACAAGCCCGAATGAGTAAATTGTTCTCGCGAGAGATGGATTCGTAGGCCTAGATGGAATTTGTCCCGAGAGCGAAATAGAAAAAAATGCAATATCCTCAGACGCAAGAGAGAGCGTTATTAGTTTTGATGCGAGGAACGTACGCTTTTGTGGAGACGGAGAGGGGATCCATGAGGATGGAGTGAAGAGAGGGAATCGTCGACGACGCGGCTGCCCGAGGAAGACTGGTGGAGGAAGACTTGCCCGGCGCCGACCAGCCTCCGAGGACGATCGGAATGGGATCTTCAATAAGCATGTGCGTCCCGGGTCCAATGCATCTCCCGCCTCCTTCGTCTATATCTGCACCTTCCCCGTTCTCCTAATGATGAGTTGGGAAAGAGTGGGGGAGGGGCGGGAGGGGGGGAAGGGGGCGCGGGGGGAGGACATTAGGTCTTACAGGCGTATTTGTCTTTAGAGGCATGCCAAGGAGATGCGACGCAGGATCCATAACGGGTTCTTTTGCTTTGTGACGTTGCTGTAAAAGAGGGGATGGGCGGTGAGGGGTGAGGGGGGGTGAGGGGGGTTGAGGGGGGGGGAATGACGTCAATCGGGATATGCGGGGGAGGTGTTCCGTTTCATTTCATTTCATTCGGCTCCACGCGAACAAAAGCGGAAACAAAACCAGTAATGGGGAATTTTATTTGAAATTTAGGATTTGAACGGAGCAGGAACATTCATTAGGCTCACTGCGTGCTAAGCCCATCGATGCTCTTCGCTTTTGGAGGGGGCGGAAAGGGGGGAGGGGGTGAAAGGGGACGGAGGGGGGAGGGGGTGGAAGGGGACGGAGGGGGATTCTGCATGATTCGGGGAAAAAAGGTTTGAATAAAGAATGTGAAAAAAATGACAGGAAAAAGTGGTGAAGGCATGTTGCCTGCTCAAGAAGGTCGGAAGGTAACGATCGTGTACCCAAAAAGGTGCTTGGAACATCAATAATCAGCTTCATTTGCGTTTTCCAAATATGGAAATAAAAAATTGAAATGCGATAATAGCATCTCACGTCAGACCGCCGCAGAGTTGGACGTCTCCAAAATGCAAATGGTATCGCGATCGATCTTATTGGCAACCATCGACGCGTCAGGGTCGGTCCTGGGAAAGTAATTACCGCCAACAATTGGCGGAGGGGGCCAGATTTCGTTTTGGCGCAAAAAGCACAACATCCAATTTCCCCAAGTCAAATGAGATCACGAGAAAGCGAAATGCGGGATGGAAATTCAAATGCAACATTAAATCACGGGATTGCTTCGAGGGTCACGGGAAAGAGCTCGCTTTTTCATCTTACACGATTTGCATTCAGCAACTCCTGGCAGAGATTAAAGGGCGGATCTTCGATCGCGCTGAAGCGGCTTAGTTGAGGATGGCCGAGATGGCCGGGATCGACCAGGATCGACCGGGATCGCCTGCCCGTCCTTTCGGAGTTGGGGCATTAAACCGACACGATAAATAAAAAAACACTGAGTAATGCAACCAACGATCCATGCCTGCACTGTAATGCATCCCCACTCGTCCGGAATAGAGGGAGATTTCCGTGGAAACGGCCAAGAGATTGCATTCGCGACGGGGCTGCCACGTTTTGCCTCGCTCTGACGCCTATGCGGGGTCGAGTCCGATTACAATTTACAATTTGGCTCTCGTGCTTCATTATTGAACTGAAAAACCCATACTTTCCTCGTGTCTAACAAGCTTTTTTCTTAATCTGAATACCCGGCGCAGCCAGTGGCGGACTGGCCACCTGGCAGCACTGACAAATGCGAGGAGGGCCGGTCCCCTCAAGGGCCGGCGGGCCGGTCCCCATGCACCCCATTAGTCTTATGGCAACGAAACTTACGAGTGAACATGAAGTATATTGGGAATAGGCCCAATAGTGAAACAATACATCATCAGGCGTTCCTAGCAGGCCTACTTACATAATCGGGGAAATATCCGCATTGATAGGGCTATTCCCAGTCGGGCTGGCGATTCTCTCCCGGCCCTGGGCTCTTGCTAGTTCTGCGTAGTATAAATCATTCCCTGCTTAAAAAAAGAACTGATGGATGAGGCCGGAGAAGAGAGCCGACAGGGTAAGAAGGGAGACTAAACAAGGTGCTATAAGTGGGACCTCATCAGATAGAGCAAAGGAGATGGAATGACAGGTCAGGGTTGTCAGGCGGGTCAAGTCCAGCTCAGATGAACCCCCCCCCCCCCGTTTTTTTTTTTTTTTTTGGTTTTTTTTTTGGGGGGGGGGGAGGGGGGGAAACCAGCTTTACATACTTGGAATGGCGTCGCCACCCCGCAGTGCGATTCCACGGCGCCATGCAGTTGAGAGCTGACGAATCTCCCGCTGCTGCACCAATGAAGTAGGTCTCATTATTGCCTAGTAATTCGTTTCAGTAGTTTATTTTCGCATTTGACTAGGAAAATCCGTATTAAAAATATTTGTTCCATTCCAGTCGATTTCTCGACATGAAATTCCCCATCACCGGAAGTAATGTCTTGGCTTCCTCTAGAAGAAAAAATGAGACGACTGCGGGGCGAAAAAACATTTGGACAGTGCCAAGACACGAGACCCTCTAAGGATTTATATCGCTATTAGGACGAGAGACGAAGGGAGAAAAAGGCGAGTGGGCTTTTTCGCTTTTTCCTTCTGCGTTCAATCAAGGATAAAATCCAGAAATGGCTTATCTCTCTCACTCGCTCTCTCTCTCGGTGAGGGGGATTGTAGGATTCGCAGACTTCGTGAAGAAATGGAAGCAGGAAATGAGGTGACAAACATCACTTTCACCTTTAATTGATCTCGTTCGAGTAACGTGATTAACGGGAACGAGATGACGCAGTTCCGCGTCTTTCTTGACGATTCCTCCGAGTTAAACCGATTTGGGAGGGGGGGAGAGGAGGGGCGAGAAGGGGGCAACTTTCTTCCCAAGGGTTTTTCCTGGGAATTTCAGGATGAGTCGTCTGAGATGGCGTTTCTTCATTCCGATTGATTGCTTGGGGGGGGGGGGGGGGGGGGGGGGGGGGG